TCCTGGGGGCCGGGAAGTGACGGTCCCGGACACCCGCACCACAGACTCCACGGGCGCGTCACATAAAATCTTCTTCACGGATGCAGCCGACTGCGGAAAAAGAGGGGAGGACAGTGCCAGGAAACACACGAACTGAAAGGAATCTGTAGGGGCGGGGTGGAGGTGGGAGAGGACATAAGGGGGATAGATGGGAATGGGAAAAATATAATAAAAATAAGCTGTTTTAAAAAAGGAATCTAAGCCCTGGCTGGCGTAGCTCAGTGGATTGAGCACAGGCTGCGAACTGAAGTGTTGCAAGTTCAATTCCTAGTCAGGGCACATGCCTGGGTTGCAGGCCACGGCCCCCAGTAACCACATATTGATGTTTCTCTCTCTCTCTTTCTCCCTCCCTATGTATGAATAAAATCTTAAAAAAAAAAAAAAGGAATCTGTAGTAACTCTAGTCTATGGTTTAGAATAACGACAATAGGCACATAACTTAATTGCTGTAAATTACTGTTGCTGTCCTTAATGACTTTATTAAAGAATCTGGTAAACTGCATCCCCATTTTGATTCAAGTTAATACAGCAAGTCAAACTCAATGAAAAGTTTTCAAATGTGTCCCTTAAAGGAAAATACAGAGAGGAAAGCTTAATGCAAACAAGTCTCATATGCCTTTATTTAAAATTTTTTTTATCCTTACCCGAGGACAATTTTGTTTTAGATTTTATTTATTTATTTTTAGAGAGGGAAAGGAGAGAGAGAGAGAGAGAAACCTCAATGTGCGGTTGCTGGGGGCCATGGCCTGCAACCTAGGCATGTGCCCTGACTGGGAATCGAACCTGTGATGCCTGGTTCGCAGCCCGCGCCCAATCCACTGAGCTCGCCAGCCAGGGATCCGAGGGCAATTTTTTAATTGCTTTTGCGAACCTGCAACCTAGGTATCAGCCCTGACTGGGAATCGAACCCGCAACCTTCAGTTACAGGATGACACTCCAACCAGCTGAGCCACACTGGCCAGGGCTACCACGTACTTGAAAGGCAACTGTTTGCAGGGCTGGTCTTAGGGGCAGTTAAGTCCACTAGCAGTAACAGAGGCCAAAGGTTAGCTACGCTCATCTCCGGACCCTGAGACCACTCACTGCTCTGACTTCAGAACACACAGAGCTGGGCAGATCACTTTTCTTAGGCACAAAACATTTGTAAACATCACAGCAGAAACCACCGTTGCCCACCAATCATGCCGAGGATCGTTATTTTATCTAATTTTAATGGTAATTATATTTGAGCAGGTAGTAACTTCACATGACTCAAAATTCAAAGGGGACAGATAAATATACAGTGAAAAGTGTCCCTCCTGTCCTTGTCCTCCAGCCCCTTAGTTCCTCCCTCCAGAGGCACCCAAAGGGTGACCACATACCCCCTTTAACACAGATAATAGCCCTCCACATGCTCTTCTGTATCCGGTGTTTTTCAGGCTAACAACAGACTTGGGGTTTCTTTTCCGTATTAGTACATAAAGACCTTCTTTAATCTTTTTTTCTATGCCTGTCAAAATGTACATTTTTTACTGCCAGTCTCTTATTGGTGAACATCTAGGTTGTTCCCGATTTTTTTCTATTAAAGATAACTGGGCAGTGAAAAGCCTTGTGTCTACGTCATTTTGCACCTGTGTAAGTCCAGGTGCAAGACAGTTGGAAGATAATTGACTGGAAGTGGGAAGGATGGTCGAAAGGATAGATGTGTCACTAGCTGTGATAGTGCCAACTGCCCTCGACGGAACTAGTTACCATTTGGACTCCCTCAGGGGAGGTACGAACACTTGTTTTCCCAAACAGTGTGTCGGCAATCCAGTGTGTCAAGGATAACGATTCTTTGTACTTTTATTTATTTTTTTATCTTTTCAACTGGGGACCTGGCCTGCAACCCAGGCATGTTCCCTGACTGGGAATCGAACCAGCAACCTTTTGATTTGCAGGCCAGCACTCAATCCACTGAGCCACATTGGCCAGGGCTTTTTCTGTGTAGTTTTAATACACGTCTCTACTTATGAGTGAGGTTGGGCATATTTTCATAGGTCTAGAAGCCATTTATATTTTTTTTTCTGTAAATTTTATGTTCATACTTCTACTGGGCCACTGCTATTTTTTTTAAATTTGATTTGTAGTAGCCTTTTAGATATTAGGGAAATTAACCCTTTGTATTTGTTGTGCTCATTAACAAATGTCATTTATATTTATTTAGGTGTATGTTTATGGTGAATATTTTTTCCCAGTTTGCCATTGGTCTCAATGTTGCTTACTTTTTTTTTTAGTTTTCACTAACTTCTGAATTTCAAACCTCAAGCATATTTAGCTTACCCTAACCACAGCATCAAAGAGGCTTTCAGTAATAGCAGGAACCCTTTTATTATTACCTCATCCTGGGGAATGACAACTTGAACAAGTCCCTGGAAATCTCTCAGGACCAGGAAGATGTTTTGCCTGATTAATGAAGAAAATGAACATGTTAGGATAAAATCTCTGAGCCCCAAATTTAAGAAAGCAAAACAAACAAATGGCCCACATAATTTCTCACATTTATTATAATAAATAACATGCACTTCCACTTGTTAGCAAAAAAGGAAGACTGGTCTCTAAATCAGCAGCATGGCTAGACAGAAAAAGCAGCATGTCCGTCACCCTGGAGTTTTGAAAGCATTTTTATACATGATGTAGGGGGAGCAAGGTGTCACAGTAGCCATTCTGAAGGAACTGGCATCAGCTACAGACAACAGGGATGGGAGAGGGAGGAGCGGGGCTACTTGTGGGCTGGGCACAGCCGCTGAATCCATAAAGCTCACGTGTGAACATGAAGTAGAGGTTCCCACTTGGATGTTCATTATAATTCCAACATACATTAAGGAGTGTGAGCAGTCTTTTGTTGGTTTTGCACTGTAGCTGTTAACCAATCAACCCTGTTGTCCCTTCCCTCCACCCTCTGGCCTGCTGTCATTTAATCTAGAACATCTCAGAATTTTCTCCTTGTCAGGACTCTCCAACCTTCGTAAGCCAAGGGACATTTCAGTCCATCGGTGGGTCATACTTCATTATCGTACCCTTCAGCAGATGTGACTGGTACTTATTGAGAGAGACACGATTTGGGTCTTTCAAAACAAAACTAATTTAATGAATTCTGAGAATCTTGCAGGAGTTGCAAAGCTTTTATTCTCTTGCCAGGTTGAAAGTTAATAAAGGTTTGGAACTGCCTTGGAAAAACACCACCACGCATTCTTAAACTGCCACTCACCTCCGGTACTGAATCCATCCACACACGGTGACCTCCTGGCCCAAGTGAGAAGAACGCAACTCTCCACACGTGTTGGTCCGGGTGACAAAGCTACTGAGTTCTTAAAAAAAAAAAAGCCAGATTAAAAATATATCATTTCCAAACTGCTTAAAAATAGACTCTCAAATCACATCATCTTTGGTATTTCATGTCAAAGGCTAAAGTTTATGAAGTAAATCTAAGTATGTCATTTGATTTGATCACTACTAAATTTACCCACAAATGTGTCAAAAGCCAACAGAATAACTGTCTTAAGGTAAATTTTTACCTTATGTTAGGAAATCTAAATTGTTTTGATTACCTAGCATTTGCATTGCCCTAGAATTAGCCCATTGTTAATAGTGCATATATCTTTCCCAAATCAGATAGGATCTTCCAAATCACAGTTTAATGGTGCAGTGACCAGCTTTAGTATGAATCTAGAAAGTCACTATGTACACTTAGAAAACACTACTGAAAGTATTCTCAAGTGTGAATTTTTCTAGACGTGTTAGTGGCATCAACTAAAAGCAGAATAGCTATGTGGCTACGTTTCTGGTCCTTTTAAACTCCAGGATAAAAACAAAACACAACTACATTATAAGAAAGGAAGCGGGTGAATGATCTGCTTCTGCACAGAAGGCCATGCATCCAGCTAAGACTGGGGGGAATGGAGAACAGGAGCAAGTGCTGTCCAGAGACAAGAAAGAGCTCTTCACTGCTTTCACCTGGAACTCTCCGCTGTGAACTCAGTGTCAGACTTCTGGAGAGAGACCCCCAGATCAGCTGGGCGATCCGTCCGGTGGGTGTGGCTACACCCCTATTTAGCCGAGTTAACCAACTGGAGAACATGTTGGAGCTGCAGGAGGGCGAGAGGCGCTTACGAATCCCACACTGCCGGTGTTGAGTGGTGATCAACAATCATTTTTGTAAATACACACGAATCCCTTAAAATGCTAGGAGTTCCAGTCTCTGCTCCAATATTTAACCCCTTCACCGCCGAACACGTGTCTAGGCACTTGATCGATCTGCAAGGTCTTTGAGGCCCTTGGAGAGTGGGTAGAAGAAAGACGTCTGCCCCCCCCCAGCACGCATCAGTATCCGCTTGCATTAACAAACACAACTGCGGCCAGATGTGCGAGAACGCGTCCACACAGCAGCGCAAGGCGTGATCCCGCGAACACGCAGAGACCGAACTGGCCGGTCATCACGAAAGCCCTGCCTTTCCTTCCTTGCACGCTTCCCCGAAGGTTCCTGCCGGAGAAGCGGAAAACAGGGAGAACTCAGCCTCGCGTTTCAAATCTCCTGGCGCCGACCTTGGATCTTCAAGACGAGGAAGAGTGCAAATCCTAAACTTTCTGAGGATCCGAACCCGCTTGCAGATTGCTCAGGGGGTGCCAAGTGCTGCTCCAAGCGCCCAGCGAGTGCCCAAGATTACGGTGGGCACAAGCAACCAATCAGCTCAGAGGAGCTGCCGCCATGCTCAGTGCGGCCGGAAGTTGGAAGGAAAGCTTCACGTCGGTAGGAAAGACCGGTAGTGTAATCAACCGCCGCGCGATTGGAAAAATTGAGGCTAGTGGTTAGGTCGCTCAAACGTGCCCTCAGTAAAAATGGCGACCTTAGTGGCTTCACTGACTTGGAATAGGCGCCCGGAAGGCTTCCGGTGACGGGCCGCGGAGCGAGGCGGGAAACAGTTTTAAACTGAGGCGGTGGCTGGGCACTCAATTGCGGCTTCTCAACGGCGAGAGTTTGCAGCTACCCTTGCGTGGCACGGGAGGGGCTCAGGTGCAAAGTGCGAGGCGGGACACACTGTTCCCCTCCGCGGGCAGAGGCTGACCCGGCAGGAGCGAGGGTGGCGGAGCTGGGCGTCTGGCTGTGCGGAAATGTCCCTCGGGGTGAAGTCGCAGGGCTCGCCTGGCGTCTGAGGAGGCGGAGGTCTCCCTAGTGGGCAAGTTTGTGTCCCTGGTGAACGCGCTCGTCGCGGAGCGCAGGAGAATTTGGGAGGGCCAAGGGTTCCCCCGGCCTCGCCGTGAGCTGCCATTCGGGCGGCCTTCCCTCCACCCCGCTCCCCCAACTTCTGCGGATTTCGGCCTGGATGAAGTGCGGGGTCCAGTTTTGAAGAATGATTCCGGAGGCCGGCCTGGGTGACAGCGTCATCGCGGCACCTCACTGGTAAGTTGCTTTGGATTGGTCCGGGACTGGCAGTGAACTTGGCACGTCCACCTGTGGCGTGGTTGTTATCTTCACCGTTTCGCGCGTTTCGGCGTGTTTCTCTCGGTGTCCCCGGCACCCGGCTGAGCCCCGGCCGCGGGGCGGTCGCCTTCCGCCCGGGTTGGTGGCGATCGCAGAAAAGCGGCCGGAGTCAGGGATGCAGCCGCGCAAGACAAACAAGCGAAGTTGTCATCGTGCGCTCTGTCCAGAGGACTTGGCGGGAGAGCCGGCGAATTTTAAACTAATTTTTAAAATTTAAGAAACTATTTAGTAAATATATATATATATATATATATCCTGTACCTGGGATTTGAATTTTATTTATTCATTTATATTTGGCTGGTATGCAATATTATATTAGTCATGTTCGTTTGGGGTGTCCAATATCGTGATCCGACATTTGCATACTCTGCAACGTGATCATCTCACTGCTTCCAGTAAGCGGGTGTCACCCTGCACCCTTGGACAATGCTATTGACCGTGATCCCGTGACCTTTGTCACCCCTCCCCCGAACCCCCACAGGCACTTAACTTTGTACTGTTTCAATTTCTGGTTTTCTTTCTTTTCCTGTAGACCATGGATTCGTACCACACACCGCAGTCGGTTCCCAGACGAAGCGCATCCTCGAGGCTGAAGGAGTACTGCCTGGGCGCCACCCCGCTGCAGAGGCGGCTGGAGTCCGCGCGGAAGCAGGCGTCCCGCGCCCCGGCCTCGCCCCCGCGGAGGGTCCCCCAGCGGCGGTCGCAGTTGCGGGTACGGCCTGTCGCGTGCCTTCGGGTCCTGTGATGATCGAGAATAGGCGTGAGCTGCACATTGCCGTTCTTGTTGCTCTTCCTATTATTAGTGTTTTCTCGGTCGCTCAGGTAATAAAATAAGCGAGAAACGGCTAGAAGAAACAGCTACTTATACTGTCAATACCTGCTTTGTTACGCCTTTTAAACCCCTTTAAACTGGAACGTTCCCACACTGCGTCTTTTGTGGCGGCGGCATTTCCGAAGAGGACGGTTTCCTCCTCTCCCGGTTTGAGGGAGAACGTGCCTCACTTTGTGTTTGTCTGATGTTTTCCCTCGTGATGAGGGTGAGTCGCGTTCTCTCGGCGGCGGGGACACTCCGTCGGGGCTGTTGTGTCCTTGGGGAGCGACCTCTGGTGCCACACAGGCGACGTTCGCTTTGGTCGTCCCGTCCAGGTGCTGTCCAGCACTCACGGTGTCAGCCCCCCTGCGGCCCGTCGGTGGGGGGACACTCACTTGAAGATGACACAGGCATCGTGGTACTCGCCCAAATTCCCTCCTACGCTGGGCCTCCGTTGAAAATTACTGCTCGCCCCGCCGTCCTCGTGAGGCTTGCAAGATAACACTTTCCATCTCCGTTTACTCCATGCCGCCAACCCGCTTCTGGCATTGTTTTAAGCCCTGCTCACTTCTGCTCCATGGGTTTATCTGTCAGGCAGAACTCGTGAATTCCTGTTTTTCACATTTTTGCAACTCATTACCCAATTATTTTGGTGTTTAAATCGGCCCAGATTTCTCTGGTGGCATCATGCTCTCTTCTGATCATGCGTAAGCGACCCTGAAGGATTGCGCCATTAGTAATTTAAACTGAATTTCCAGGATTTTCTAGTAATTTACACTGCTACTTCACTGCAGCGCGAGATGAGGCCCTAGGCAGTGCGAGCTCGGCCTGTGGCTTTGAGTCGCTGGCGGGGAGCGGGCTGGAAGGCGCTGGCCGCGCCCGCCACTTTGTTGTCTTGTCCGTGCTGGGTGCCCAGTGTCTTCTGGGATGGGAGAAAATCTTTGCTTCTTTGTGAAAACATTCTTAAAGAAGAACCAACGAGTGCTGGTGATGGAAAGTGATGGCTGCTAACCAGAGAACAGACCTTGCGTACAGATGAAAGTTGGGAATGTCCATCTCGGTGCTCCCTTGTGTCTGTGATGCAGATAATTGTGCCATACGTTTTGACAGTGGCAAGAAAAAAGTTTATGATGTTTATATAGAAGTTTATAACCATTTTCATGAGTTCTGTTGTCAGAGCAAATGTTTTTGTAAGTAGGCAAAGGTAGTGAAAGCTCGCAAAGATAGCTGTGAGACTGTCAGGAGGCACGCAGGGATTGTGCCGAAAACCTCGGTTCAGGGTAGAACTGGGAGCCGTAGGGTGTCTGTGAAGACACTGGATAATGCCGTAGGGCCGGCACAGATGAAGCACTTTTGTTCCGGACGGTGCCTGTGGCCCTGACAGAGCATGGCTATACTCCCCGGTACCTTTTATGTAATCTGCTGAATGAGGCATTGGGCCAGAGAGTGTGGGTTTACTGCCAGGCAGCTTAAAAAATTAATTAAAAACAGTCAGATTAGTTGTTCTAGGGATAATTACTATTTTCAAATCTGTAATTTTAAGTTTCTAAAAGTGAAACGTAAACGTTCATTCACTTAATGCTTATTGAACTCCTGTTCTAGATGGCACTGTTCTAGGTGCTGAAATGTAGTAGGGCATGAAATAAACCAACCCCCTGATTTCATCAAACACATGCTCTGGTCGGGAAGACAGACAATAGAAATCAGACAAATCCGTAATATCAGATAGTAATCAATGCTGTGAAAGTTCGGAGTGGGTATGGGTGCTTTAGACAGGGTGGCCTCGAGTGACTTTTGGGCAGAGAGCTGATTGAAGGAAAGGGACACGCCGCGTGGCCACCTGTGGGAAGAGAAGGCCTGTTCAGGGGTCTCCAAAGGGCCTTGCACACTCCAGTGTGTCTGGGCTGCAAAGAGCAGGTACCCAGTCATAGATTTGTGTTAAATACTATGATTAAGTTTTTATTCACTAAAGTTTCCTAATTCTTAAGCCTCTTTTGTTGTGAATTTTTTTTTTTAGGAAGACGTTGATCCTCAAAAGGTTGCATTCCTTCTGCATAAGCAGTGGACTCTATACAGTTTAACGCCCCTGTATAAATTCTCCTACACTAATCTCAAAGAGTACTCGAAACTCCTGAGCGCATTTATTGCTGCTGAAAAGCAGAAAGGACTCGCTGTGGAAGTAGGCGCAGACCTGAACATCAGAGTGAGTTTCTCTGCGCTCCTGGGAGTGAAGGGCACGCGCAGAGACCCTGACGCAGTCCTCGTCCAGGTACAGTGTGTGAGCAGGGCGTGGCTCCGAGGGGGAAAGCATCCGCCTCGTTTGGGGTTGGGAATCGTGGTGATTTTTGCTGTTTTCAAAATTTTTAAGCTCGTGATTTATGACTCTTTTTGTCTTATTTGACCAAATTAAAGTAATTAGATGTGGCCAACTTAAAAAGAAGTTTTTGCTATTATAATACAGGGTGGGGCAAAAGGGGGTTTACAGCTGTGAGTAGGTGAAAGTTTATTCTTGTATAATCATTTATTAATTATTGTATTAATTTCCCTGTGTATACAACTGTAAAACCTACTTTTGCCTCACACTGTATAAGCATATTTATTTTAGAAAACTTTGAAAATACATAAAGTACAAAGAAAGTTGAAAAGCACAGTTTAACATTTTGGTACCCATCTTTTTGTCAGTATACAATCCGAATAGGCCTACGTCTATTAAAGAAATTGAATTAATAATTAGTAACCTTTCAAAACAAAGCACCAGGCTCAGACAGGTTCACTGAACCCTATCAGACATTTAAGGAGAAAGCAGACCAGTTATCTACATTCTCTTGCCGAGAACAGAAGCAGAGGGAATACTTTCTCACTCACTCTGTGAGGTCAACATTACGCCAAACCAAAGCCAGACAAGACAGTAGAAGAAGAGAAAACTACAAACCAACCTTCTGTAAACACAGATTCATGGATTTGGCTACTTGTATCGAGATTGGGATCACAGTGCCCATACTTACTTGCACTATGGCTTTTTTACTAATAATGTTGAAGATAATTACTCATGTCATTAGGAAGTTTACAGTTCTGTGGTTTTTACTGGGATTAAATTCCAGAAGTAGAATTTTAACAAAAATGTAACATATTACACATTGTGATATCACATTAAGTTACTCTCAGAAATGTAACATTTTGCATTGCTTCCTATATGCAATGTATAAAAGTAATATGATTAATGTCTGATTCATTAAAAAATAGGATTTTTATGGCTGGGTAGAATTCCACTGTGTAATGTGCCAGAGTTGTTTTATCCACTCATCTACTGGTGGACACTTGGGCTGCTTCCATGTCTTGGCAATTGTAAACAACACTGCAATGAACACGGGGGTGCTTATGTTCTTCTGAATTAGTATTTTGGGTTCCTTCAGATCTATTCCCAGAAGTGGGATCACGGGGTCATTGATCTAAAAGAGTAAAAGTGGCATCAACTGTACCTGGTTGTACCATATTGGCAGACCCATTGTTAATGTTTTGAGGTGTCTCCACACTGCTTTCCTCAGTGGCCACACCCGTCAAGTTTAATGGAAACATCTATGAATACCTGGAAGGCAGTTTTTTCGTGTCATTGACAAATTTCAAGTCCGAAGTTTTAGTCGGTCTGCTGGAAAATATAATCAAAATTCTAAAAGATCTCAATGGATTGACACAATGGGCAAATGGAAAGAGATCAAAATTTTAATAGGGATAAGTTTACTGTCTCAATAGCGGTTGGGGCGGGGATTTACCTGTTAGCATGAAAATTGAATATGTAGGGCTCTGATTTATGTAAAGCTGCCTACTAGAAACCAGAAAACTGCTGCAGTCCAGCATTATATTGATAGGAGTGTAGTCTAGGTTAAAGCCGATGTAGTCCTGTAATCAGATGTTTTTGAAGAAATTATATTCGCTTATGTTCACCCACAGAGAATTTCAGAGAAGAGTGATCAGGGTTATGTGAGACTTGAACATACGTCACAGGAGACAGGGCCGAAGATATGGGCGATACTGAACTTGGCAGTACACGTGATAGGGATCATCAAGTGTTTGAAGGGCGTTTCCCGTAGAATAGGCATTAGAGGTTGCTCTGTTCTTCGTGCACATGAGGACGAGAGCAGGACCGGTGGGGGGACACTGGGGGCCTCACATGAGAGAACACTGGAAGCGGGGGGAAGGGGCTGCCCTAGGACGTGCTGGAGTTTGCTTCAGTGCAGGAGTTCACGTCATTCCATTTGGTGGCAGTAAAGCTGTCCTTTCTGAAGCTGAGATTTTTTGTGATACTGTACCTGGTTGTACCATATTGGCATCCTTTATTTTGCATTTTGGTTGTACAAAGATCTTGCCATATACCATGTCTCTAGTGTATAAGAAATTAGGGAAAAGCTCAGTGAACTTGATAAACCCTAATAATGATTAAGGGCACTATTCTCTGTGTTTTTTCATAAGTAATATATCTTCTTATTTTTAAATATACTAATTAATTTTGAGATGATGTAATTTAGGAGTAAGTGTACATTTAAAGGGCATTTTTTAAAAATTTAGTTTCTAGAGGGGAAGGGAGGGAGAAAGAGAGGGAAGCATCGATGTGAGACAGGAGCGTTGATGGGCTGCCTCCTGTACGTGCTCCAGCCGTGACCTTTTGCTGTGTGGGGTGGTGCCCAACCCACTGAGCCACGCCGGTCAGGGCAGGAGTAAGTGTACTTTCGAACTTAAAGAGCCTGTTTTTATTTTCATCCTTTGTAGATTCTGTCAAAATCTCCATTGCCATCTGAGAGCGGAGAAGTCAAGGTGCTGTGGACCGGCTGGTTCTGCTGTGTGTTTGGAGACAGCCTCCTGGAGACCGTTCCGGAAGACTTCACCTGCCTGCCCTTATTCCTGGCCAGTGGAGCAGAGACCAGCACCGCCCTCGTTGGAACCTGGTTCCAGAAGACTTTTGACTGCTCTTTCAGCCCCTTAGCCATCAATGCGTTTAATCTATCCTGGATGGCGGCTATGTGGACCGCGTGCCAAGTGGACCGCTACGTGGCCACCACGGAATTCCTCTGGTCCGTACCCTGCAGCCCTCAAAGCCTGGACATTTCTTACGCCATACATCCGGAAGATGCCAAAGCTCTGTGGGACAGTGTCCACAGAGCCCCTGGGGAAGTCACCCAGGAGGAAGTGGACTTATTCATGGACTGCCTTTGCTCACATTTCCATAGGCATTTCAAAATCCACTTATCGGCCACACGACTGGTTCGCGTTTCAACATCTGTAGCTTCAGCCCATACTGATGGAAAAATAAAGGTTAGTTTGAACAAATCTAGTTAAGTAATTTTTCCTTATTGTTTGTTGCCAAGTTCTCAGAGCGTACAGTAATTATATTTTCCACGTGGGAGAAACACACTGAATATCTACCAGTTCAAGGCAGCAGAGAGATTTTATCTTATGCTTTATAAAGGATTTACTAAAAATTCTTCAGCTTTCTCAGTTCAGCTTTATCATGGAAAGAGACTGCATGCTGTGCGCTACAGATTTTAGTAATGATATGAATTATTCTGTAGTAACATTGAAACTTTCAAAATAGTTTCTCGTCAAGCTTTGAAATAATCAGATAGAGTAGTTTATATGTTAGATAAGAAAACTGTAGCTAGAAACATATAACCTGAGATACCATCTGTCTATTTTAGGCTTTTCTATCCCTGCTGGAAAAGAATTAAAGGCGTTGTTTTACTGTTTGTGAAGTCCTATTAGAGGAAGTATCAGAAATCACCTGCGAGTAGGCCCTTAAATATAGTAAAATCCAACCGCCATAAACACACTCAGTGAATATTGGCTTTGTCACTGGGCTGGGAGTCTAATGTGTGCTAATAGTGGTCTTCAGGGTACCCTGCCATTAGGTGTTTTTATCCACACTTTATTTTTAAACGAGGCCGAGATAGGCTTGAGCACACATGCAAGGAAGCTCAGTGAGAGGAGGAGCCACGACCCGAACGCTTGTTTCCCAGGCCCCAAGAAGTCCAGACCCAGTCTGTCAGTGCTCTACCAGTGCTGTCCAAACTGGAGGGCGCAGTGCAGCAGGAGGCTGGGAAATAATTCTGATGGGAAGAGACCAGCTTTCAAACCAAAAGAAAATAGAAATTATAAAAATGAAAGTATCATATGTAGTAAGTATCATATGTGTAGTATCATATGTAGTATCATTTGTACTGGGTCATGATGTTAAATTGATTACTTACCATGGTTTACAGTAAGAAATTTACAAGATTATACTATACCATGTGATTTTTGACATTGTAAAGGAAAATGCCATTTTAGCCCCTCCGAATTCAATGTTCTCGAAGCCCTTATATCACAGGTGGCAAGCACAAGGCCCACGGGCCAAATCCGGTCCTCTGCCTTGTTTCTACCCGGCAGCAGCGCTGAGCTCCTTGCCCCTAGTTAAGGAATAGTTACATGTACACAGTCCTTTTAAAGTTACATTCGGCCCTTTGAAGGCATGAGTTCGACACCCCTGCCTTACATATTTAAAAGTTTTGTTTCCATATGCATACACTGTTAGTAAACTACATTTAAAAACTATTTTATATAATGTATTGTTATCCATCTATGTATATGAGAGTAGTCCTCAAACACATTTATTTTATCTCGGTCTATTCTAAATAAATCTAAGAGCCTCTCTTAATGATGTAAGACTGCAACTGGCTCTGAGGTTCAAACAATCCCGCGATGAAAGCTGACGTTTACTAAGCATCAGATCGTGCCAGGCATTATTAAGCGTCCAGTGCGTATTGTCTCCTCTAGCCTTCACGACAGCCTGTATACGTAGTCTGTGAACTTACACAGCTTATAAAGAGGAAGCCGGGACACGGAGGATAAGCAGCTGCCCTACGATCACACAGCCAGTGAGTGGAGTTGGAATTTGAACTCGAAAGCTTATGCTTTCAACAACAACACTGCACTGCCTTTCAAAAATTTGGAATTAATGCATTAGCCAGGTTTCTGCCATCCGCTTCCTTTCTGCAAGATACATTTGGAATTGTGTATCCCTTTGAGAAGAAGGAAGCTGTGGAACCTCTTTCTAGAAAATGAAGATACTCAATTTGCTTATAAGTCCACGGGGTTCATAGATGCCCCTCCTCCCCTCACTCTCTAGGTGGATGGTTAGCCCAAGCTCGGAAGCCTGGATAAATAAGAACCCCAGTCTGATTACTTCTAGGAACCATTGACTATACTTGTAAGTGTATTAAAGTTTCTAGTCTTCATTCGGTAAAATTTATTTGACTTAGAGCAGCAGTAGTTTTGAATTCCGTATCTGCAAGCTAAGATATGAATAGTAGTATTTTAATAGTATATGAATAATAGGGTTTTAAAGCCATGAATACTACTATTCATATCTTAGCTTGCAGATATGGAATTTAAAATAACCTTGGAGTATGTATCAAATACAAACTGCTTTGTTATCATAATTCTATTTTAACTTTAAATGTCCTTTTTTTTTTCTTTTCAGATTCTGTGTCATAAATACCTTATTGGAGTGTTGGCATATCTGACAGAACTGGCCATTTTTCAAATCGAGTGAGGCCTTGTGGGGACTATATGTTATGGATGATGTACCTTCTTGATCGTTTGCCTAACTGCTGTGCTGAGAGGGACCGCGGGGGGAAACGGGCCCGTCCGCACCTGTGTCCTCACAGCGCCTTTGCAGGTGCCCAGGAGGGAGCCGAGCAGAACACCCCGAAGAACAGGAGGTGGCAGGGGGTGAACCCCAGCCAGCTGCTCCTGCAACAGCCGCGGTGCTCGGGGCGCCGGCCTCCGCAAAAAGGCTGAGTGTGATTTGTTGGCCGTCTTCCTACGAAATACGTAATGTTTATTCTATCAGCTTTTAGAGTTCAAATGAGTTACCTCTGATATTCAGTACTTCTGATTTGTGTCTGTAAAACTTTTAACCCCTTGTAAGCATTTTAGACTTGCGTTCAGAGAGAATTTCTGTCTTGCAAAGACATTCTCCAAGCACCATTTTGCTGGAGAGAACTCGCAATCAAAAAAGTCGTCTGCAAAGGAAACTAAAGATGAGTGTAGGTTTTTAAAGCCACTAATATGCCTCTCTTTTTAATATTCTGTCCTAATTGCAACGTTGAATTAAATAGTCACTTTTAAACTGAAGCAGTGTGTTCATGAGTGTCTGGTGGCAGATCTTTCATGGATGTCTCAGGAATGGGAAGTCTCGGGCCTGATCTCTAGCATGCAGGTTACAAGCCAAGAATTATGCAGAGTCACACAGTTGTCCCTTTGCAAGGCACTGGGGAACCTCTTTTGAGGGCAGAGACTTTCTTAAATTTCATGTCCATAATTTTGCTTTAAGCACAGTGCTTAGTAAATAACTGTAGATAAAATGAATGAATTTTAACCAACTCTTTCATTTTATAGATGAAAACTACGAAATCTACCAACTTTAGAGACTTGCCCAAGAGGTTATATCTAAATCTCTTCTTTTTGTCAATCATAGCTGAGCATAGAGGAAGGTTTTGTTTTATGTTAGAAACCAGGTTTTTAAAAATCTTGTTTGGAGGAAAGTAACTTTAATAGGTTATCATTCTAAAAACAAATACTAGCTTCTGGAGTGTGGTATTATTTCACGTGTATTGGGGTGGGCAGAGGCGGGAGAAGAAGCAGGGGCTTTTGAGCCGGACATTCATTCATTCATTCATTCATTGAACTAATACTAAGCTTCTGCTGGGCACTTAGAGTTGCATCGGGTAACAGGGCTGCAGCAGGGAAGGCAGAGAGGTCCCTGTCCTGGGGAACGATACCCTCATGGAGGAAGGCAAAGGAGAACGGATTCCCGTGGAGACGAAGGCTGTGAAGAAAATGAGGCGGTGTGCTAAGAGGTAGGGTGACGGGCGGGCCTGCCGTAGGGACAGGTGTCCAGGAAGGGCCCTCCGAGGGAGTGACGCGCGAGCTGAGTCCTGGGGGATGAGCGGGAACCAGCCACGGGAAGGTCCGAGGATGGCCGTGCCGGCCGGTGACACTGCCGGAGGGAAGGCCTCGGGACAGGCGAGGGCTCGGCCTGGTGGAGAGCGAAGGGAGTGCATGTGGCTGGACACAGCGAGTGCGAGTGGGGCGGTGTGAGACGACGGAGCCGAGGGGGCGGGGGTGCGGCAGAACCTCTTCCGAGCGCGAGTGCGGTGTCTCCCAGCGGCTGGCTGGGCACGTGGCTGCCCAGAGTAGGGATGACGATTTCCAGCCTTTCTCACTGGTCTCTGAGTTCTGACCCAGGGCGGGTCAGTGTTGTGTAGAGCTTCCAGGATTCTTCCTTGAAACACGGGGTGGGGCTTGCCCTTGTCTTCCAGCTTTGCTGCTTGGAACACGCAGGACTGGAACTCCAGCTGTTCTTTTAGGTCGCAGGGGTGAGGGTCAGGTCCTGAGAGTCGGGGGACAGGGCCTGGAAGGGTTTGTGCCCTGAGGGCTTCTTGAAGCTGAACCCCAGTACCAGCCTGGGTGGTCTTCCTCCAGACTTAGGTGTCAGAGAAGTAAACTTCCCCCGGGTTTCAGCCATTGATGTTTTGGATCTCTTGCCCATAATAACCAGACGGAGTCCTGACACAGAGAAGCAAGAGCCACGTCATCTAAGTTTTTACAGGTCCTGTGAAGAGATGGGGTTTTATACCAAATGCAATGGGAAGCCACTGAAGTTTTAAGCAGGAGAGTAATGTGACCCACTTGTGTTTTATAAGGTGTAGAATGAAATGTAGGTGAACGAGAGTGCGAGAGGGAAAATAGTGACAAGGTTGTTAGAAATGGTACAACATCTATTGAGAACTTAGCGATTGTCAAAATTATGTGTGGTTTACCCTTGGGCCACCTTCGCCGCTTCTGGGACTCTGTCCTCAAAATTGACTGGAGAAATACAAAATGGAGCCTGCACAAGACTGTGTATTACAACAATAAGGCTAAAAGCAATCCAAATGCCCATCAGAGGGGGATTTGTTGAGTCGATTATGGCGTAGCTCCCAATAAATTACTACTTTGCAACTATAAAAGGGTTTGAGGAAGGTATCGAATACCGCGATTGCCAGAATCCATTATGTGGAAGCAAACTGTGGGCAGAGTGTGCAGGATGGAAGGAATGGAGGAATATATTGTGTGTTTCCTTATATTTTTTTAAAAAAAGGGCCCTGGCAGGCGTAGCTCAGTGGATTGAGCGCAGGCTTCAAACCAAAGCATCGCAGGTTCAAATCCCAGTCAGGGCACATGCCTGGGTTGCTAGGCCAGGTCCCCAATTGGGGGAGCATGACAGGCAGCCACACACTGATGTTTCATTCTCTCTTTCTCCCTCCTTTCCCCTCTCTAAAAATAAATAAATAAAATATTTTTTAAAAAAACGAGGGACAAATCAAAAACTAGTAAAAGTGGTATTAATAGGGGAAAGGAAGGAACTGGGGAGGGGAACAGGAATGAAAATCAAGGCTTCTCTGAATGTTCCCTGTTTATAGTGTAGAACCATATAAGTGGTTTATATAATTATGAAACAAAATTAGGTCTAAAAGGAAAAAAACAAAGCAATCCTTAAAAGTTGAAAATGAACTAAACATACTAAGTTCATGCTATCATCACACAAAGAATTATTTTTAGTATCTTTAAATACTTCTGTTTAGACTATACACTGTCAGTGGCCCATATCCTAGGAGAAGAACAGCAAAGGAATCTTAAATCGCATTGTTATATTTTTATTAATAGTGGTATTATTTTACCACTATTTATGGTAAGATAAAACACGTAATTGTAACAAAGTTAGGAACGAGATTTACAGTGTAAGAGAAAAGATATACAAATTGTAAAGTCGGGTAGGCTAAGTAGAAACTATATTAAATTTGAATTGGAAATATCAGAATGAACTCATTTATTTTTGAAATGCAGAAGTTTTAAGTTTTGATAAAGTCTAGTTTATCAGTTTTTTCTATTATTGTTACATCTAAAAAATCATTGCTTAACCTTAATCCTGAAGATTTACTCTTATGTTTTCTTCTGAGGATTTTATCATTTTAGCCCTTAAACTTAGGTCTATAATCCATTTGGGGTTACTTTTTATGTATGGTGTGAGGTGAGCACCCAAATTCATCACCGTGCATGTGCATACTCATTTGTTCCGTCACCATTTACTGAAAAGACAATTTTCCCATTGAATTGTGTTACCTTTCTTAAAAGTCAGTTGGCTATGGATATTTATTTCTGGATTCTCCATTTTATTTAACTGATGTATAATATATCAGTCCTTATGCCACTATCATATCATCTTGATTACTATAGATTTGTAGTGTTTAAAAATCAGAAAGTATGCTTTTCTATCTTTATTCTTCTTTCAAGAATGTTTTGGCTATTCTGGGTCTTGCTCATTTTTATAAAAACTTTAGCATTTGTTGGTCAATTTCTAGAAACAAGTTAACTGGGATATTGATGGTGATTATTTTGAATCTGTGAATACATTTGGGGAGTATCATCATAATTTTACTAAGTTTTCCAATCTATGAATGTAGGATATCTTTCCATTTATTTAAATCTTTCAAAATTTCCTTCAACTGTGTTTTATAGTTTTCAGCATACAAAAATTGCATTTTGTTAAATTTATTCCTAAATATTACTTTTTATGCTATTTAGAATTGTTTTTTTTATTTTGGACTGTTTGTTACTGATGCACAGAAATGCAACTGATTTTGCATATTGCTTTTGTGTCCTGTGACCTTGTGAACTTGTTCATGCTAGAATCTTTAGTGAATTCCATAGGATTTTCTATATGCAAAATTGGTGTCATTTGTGAATAAAGAGTTTTACTTTTTAATTTTAGTCTGAATGCTTATTTATTTTTTCATGCTAAATTGCTCTGGCTAGAATCTTCAGTATAAGAAGAAAAGGAAATGGTGAGAATCTCCATCTTGTTCCTGATCTTAATGAGAAAGTATTTGAATAGGATGTTAAATAGGTGTCTTATAAGTGCCTTTATCAGCTTAAAGTGGCACTCTTCTATTCCTGATTTGTTGAGGGGTTTTTGTTATGAGTGGATGTTGAATGTAATCACATTTCTTTTTCTGCATCTGTTGAGATGATTCATAATTTATTATTTTTTTTTTACTCAAAACTACACTCCACTTCTGGTTTCCAGTGTCTTATGGAAGGAGTTTGGAAGTAGCCATCCTGTCCTAGCCACAAGTGAACAGATGGAAAAAATAAACAACTCTTCCTAGATCCCCAGGAGCGACGAGGACCCGGGGCAGGCTGCTGGCCCCGAGCCTGGGGAGACAAACAAGCAGGCGGGTGCAGGGAGCCCCGGCGTCCTGGGGCCGAAACCTCACGGGCACAGGCGTCGTCGGGGTGAGCAGACCCGGCCCCGCCTGCTGAATCAGTGCTGGAGGCTCGGTGTGGACAGATCTGAGAGGGAAGATCCCCAGGGGTCCAGGTACGGAGTGGCGGAAGTCACTGTGCAAATGAGTTAACAAAACGTTGCTTCACAGCAGTGTCTTTATTTCACTTGGTAAAAACCAATTCCACCAAACACTCTGGCCAGTAATGCAGTTCCTGGGCCTCTGTTCGCAAATCACAGCCACATGAATGCTCCCAGTGGGGACTTCCCTGTTTATGAAGAGTCTCATCCCTAGAATTTTGTTCTCGTTATTCTCCTCCTTTTCTTCCAACATAGGTAATACTCGAGTTTTGAGAAATATGTGATTTTTGCCTTGAAGACTGGCTGTTAATGATGCAGTACTGTAAGGATCTCAAAAATGTTTAGAGTTTTTCAGTGTAACTAACCAGGCTACTTATGGTTAGTGTACTGGTTTCGGGCAGTTTCGGGTGGGCCTGCGGTGGCAGTGGGGCAGAGGAGGAGGAGGAATGGGGGGGAGTCTGGGCACCTGGTTTCTAGTGTTGGTTCTGTCACTGCATGTCTGCTCTGAGGGAGGGCTTCTGGGTTTCCGTCTCAGAGCAAAGAAACACGTGGGTGCGGACCAGCTGACTGCTGAGTCCTAGCTCAACACTGCACGATTCTGAGTCCTACACTGGCAAGTAAGTTCAGTGCTTAGAAAATGTTATAGTAAATATTTATAATTAGTGTATAAAAGAAACATTAATATAAACATTAACATGTTATATATTAAACTTTCTATATAAAATATGACTAGCTGGCAATCCTTTTATTCCTTCAGGTTTGTGAAAGTACTTATAACTTTACACAAAAGAAATATAAGTGATATAGAAACGGAAAATCTAAACAGCAAGGATACAAACATTAAAAATGTTTATGGTAAGTACTATCTTTATTTTAAAAAGTTATACATGCTAGAAAAAAGCATAAATGATACACGTAAACAATTGTTTACCAAATACTTATTTTTTTCCTTGTAAAGGTGCAAATGATTTTTAAATGTAAACACAAAAGTTGCCAAACATTTTTTAGTCAGGGTTGGGGGGGAGGAGAAGGTTATTCCTTTTGTTGTGGCTAAAGTCTTATTTAAAGATTTCCCTGCAGAAGGTCTACGAACACAATGACAACCACTGAGGTTGTACCATTGCCCCTTAGACCTTTCCAACTTGCTTCCCGAGCGCAGCGAGAGAGAAGCAGTAACGGGCGGTGCAGAGCGAGGAGGAGGACCCGGCTGCACAGAAGAACGGAGGCAGCGGCGAACCGCCTCGGTGGGCTGGGCACCACTCCCACGTGCCGTCACCCGGACCGAAGACTGCGTTCCCCGGAGGCCGAGACTGCAGGCGAGCCTCCGCTTCAGCTGGCCCGGGCATCGAGTGTCAACTGCACTGCAGAGGTCGCTGCCGGGGAGGGGACGTCCCCCACGGCTCCTCGGGAGCAGCACGGGAGCTGGAAGGAGAGCCGCCTCCGCCAGCCAGCGTGTTTCCGAGCGAAAACGGGCAGAGCCGCACACGGCAGCATCGGTGGGGGTCTTGGGGCAGGGCGTGAGGGTCGTGTGCTGCTTCCGTAGAGGCACTCACTGAGCAGGGCTCTAGCTCAATCAGAACCGAGGAAAATACTGTGGGAAGAAGAGACTTCAGTACAGCAGGAAACAAGCTCATACGGAAAAAAGAAACAAGCTGCAGAGTTCCACTGATGAAACCTTTCAGAGTCCTGGTTTTATTGATTTAACACCAATTTTTTTGGACCATAAGACGCACCTAGGTTTTAGAGGAAGACAGGAAAAAAATTTTTAAGAAAAAATGTAAAATATTTAATAATATAAATAACATAGGCTGCTGCCCCACCGCCCCCCAGTGAGCCAGGCAAGCTACATTCGCACTGTAAGATGCACCCCCTTTCCTCCCAAATTTGGGGGGTGCGTCTTATAGTCCGAAAAATAAGGTATTTCTTTTGAGTTGTACTAGGTAAAATGAGATGCTTCATTTTTAAAAAGATTTTCAAGTCTTCTGGTGCTTAGTGCAAGAACGACGGTACACACTTCGCATATGACCTCTGTCGCTGCAGTCCTTGCAAGGAGTGGGCGGAGTCAGGAGGACGGAGTGCCTGGAGGTAACAGCTGGGTCATGTGTAGCTCCTCTCCCCTCACTAGCATTTTCAAACTTAGTATCTTAAAATAATATTTTACTGCTTGAAATTTTTTTCTTTTTTGGTTAGGAGGAAAACTAAAAAAAAAAAAAAAAAATCCATGAAAAATTAAAACCAAAAATAAATGCGCACAGAACTGAAAATGACTGTGCATAAATGGCATCCTACGGGTGAAGTACTTTCACTGTGTTGATATTTGTATTTCCATAGGTTGAGGCACCGGCAAAGAATAGAATTTGTTCTAGTGTTTTCTCGAGCCGCGGAAAGCTCCGAAGTCCAAGTGCGCCCGAACACAGCGGGGCACCGCACCGCCGTCTTCCGGACGTTCACCAGATGTGGGACTCACAGTGCGTCATCTTAATCACGCCCACCCCGCCGCCCAGCCGACGGTAGTTCATCCCGCCGTACAGCCTGCAGAGGAGGGAAGAGACAAGTCAGGTTTCTCATCGGAAAGAGCACTTCCCTAACTAAGATGTTACTAAAACATTTTTCTATGGTTTGTATCACAACTAGTATTTTTAGCTCTCATATATATCCTCCAAAGATTAGCAGCTGGAATTGAGCACTGGCAAGTGGCAGAATTATTTCAGACACTGAATGAAACACTCTCACTTACAGGGGACTGTTTTAGGAAGAGGAGGCATGACTTTTATAACTATTACTCTCCACATCGTAACTGCATGACTTTACACCTAGACTGCTAACAATCATACAGAGTCATAGGTTCTACGTTTTTGTGTCTAATCTTGGCCCTGGCTATATTATTTTCATACTCACATTTTAATTTATATGTATATTTACTGAGTAAAAAATAGTAATTTATATTTTATATGTATATGTAATGTTTAATGTTCTCAAAAGGCTGAATGCTAGCAACATAGCAGAAAGAAAACTTGGTGGGGAAATGTTTTGTGGTCACATCCTCAGCACATGAGAAACTGCGATCTGGAAGCCTGGTAACGAACTTAATGCACAGGCTGTGAAAACGTAACGTAGAAGAAAAAGTGCTCCAGTGTCATCAGTCTGTCATTATTGTGACCCCTGAGCCACACACAGCCACAAGAGAGACACAGAATCCGTATATTTAAGTGACATTCCTCGAGGTGAAGATGATAAAAAGAACACGGTAAACTCGCTCGCTGACTCGCAGCCAGATGAGGAGTACGAGCCGGGCGCTGCGGGCTCGGTGCTAGGCAGCGAGCGGCCCCTGAGAGCACAGCGGGGCCGGGCTCCGAGACTGGCCCCTGCGGCGCGGGGACCGTGCAGCGGGCCTCGCTGGGCCCTCGTGGCCATCCATGGGAAGTCTCCCAGAACGCTGCCTCGGGGCTCCCGTCCAGGCCGCGCTGTGGGTGGCGTGGTCACGGGCACAGCCACCCTGGATCCAATTAAGCAAATGAGCCCAGTTTATTGAGAAACACCCCAGGTTGTGTGGAAGGTAAAGCCGTTTCCTCAGAATGCCGTGTTTAGACCTGAGCACGGACATCAAGTGCATCAGACTCACAGTACGGATATTTCACGTTAGGTTTGAGAATGCCTGACATTTTAAGTTTTTATAACGTTTAAGAAGCACTAGCATATTAAAGCATCTATCAGATTAGTTTGTGAATCAAGTATAAAATATGTGATTGAGTAAAGATTTAGACCTGATTTTAAGTTTAGAGGCTTAAGAAAATTTTGCTGAATTTGTAAAAGTTATTGAATATTTAAAATAAATGCACAGGTCACCTGATTTATGTGCATTTATAAGAATCACTTAAGTACGTAGCAAGGATTTGTTAGACAATTAAAGATTTAAAAGCCAAGTAAAATTAAACCGATACAGTTTAACATAATTAACTCTCTTAATTAAGATGTAGCCTCCACCTAAAAGTGATTTTAAATTTACTAGACTTTAAAATAGAATAGTCTAAGTAGATTTTAAAAGCTCAAGGAAAAATATCAATTTTAAAACGAAATAAAATATTTTTAAAAAGTAACTGAAATGTGTTTTCCGGGGCCCAAAGCCGCCCGCAGGAACGGCACAGGCTGCGCGGACAGACCGAAAGCCGAGGCGCTAGCTTGCGGGGAGGGCGGGGGGGGGCAAGCCATTTTACTTCTCGGCGCCGTTGTTTCCTCAGCTAACCGTGATGGGCCCAGAGAGGAGATTTCCCCGTTTTTGCCATTTCTACTTCTGAATCTGAACAGTTACCAAAGAGAAGAATTCTGTAAGCTGTGAGCCGCTTTCAAGCCATTAAGCCCAGTGAGCCATCAGATCCGGGGACTTGAGCGCCTGCAGGGCAAGGCACGAGGCAGCTCCGCGGGCCGACCATGCTGGTTCCCACAGTCAGGGGCCAGGGGCCGGTCCAGCCCGTCCTTTTCCAGGCAGCGGCGAGGTGATCGCAGCAAGGCTGAGACTTACCTCCACGTATTGGCGTCAGGGTCGAAAACTTCAATGGTCTTCAAGTACGTGGTGCCGTCAAAACCTCCTACCGCCATGAGCTGTCCGTTCACCACTGCCAGGCCGACCTGCAGGACCAACACAGACACAGCGGCGCTGGAGGAACGCCCCTGCTGGGGGCGGGGCCAGGAGGGGTGGGGGCGGGGCTTCCAGGCAGCTCTCTCTATTGGAAGGCAGCTCTTCCCGGCCTTACCTCGGGTTTGCTTCATTTGTTGGTTTGGTTTACCTGATTATTTAATAGGTTTTTGTCTGTGGTACACAGGGAAAGGCAAAAATCTATTGAGTGATGGGAACTATCAAATTATATATTCAATGAGAATGTTGACAAGGTTGACAACATGTGTTCATTAAACTTTAGGGAAAGCCTTCACTGGGAGTAAACAAGAACCTCTGACCTGCTTTTTCACTTGCGGCACCTGCCTGTTCTATCCACTGTCTGAACCGCCATGAGAAGTCATTTGAAAACACAGGCCTAACCATGAGGCATGTGGTCGGTCTCCAGAAACTTCCTGGGACTTCCTGCCACCTGAGGGCGAGTCTCAAGTCATTGTCACGGCACCGAGGCCCTCCAGAAACCCGCACGAGCCTGTGGCTGGTGCACCCCGGGCTGCAGCGGCAACACTGGGTGGACCCCTGGTCCCAGACAAGGCCGCACGTTTTTCTCATCTCGGTTCTTCTGCACATGTCGCCGCCTGGCTGGTGTTCCCTTTCCCTCTTCTAGAAAACCTCTCTCCTTTCGTGACCTAGCCTGGGTGCGACTCTCTCTGACGAGTCTCTTCACTGCCCCAGAAAGCATTAGGCATACTCTCCCATGTTGTCCTTTAATTAATGCACAAGCTGCTACTCTAGAATTTGCTTTTTTTCTTTCACTAAAATGGGAGCTCCTCGAGGACCCATTCATCCTCAGTTTTGCTTTCCCAGCATGCAGAAAGCACCTGGCAAATATTCGCTGAATGAGTGAAAGTATAATCAACAGACTGTGGCCGTGAAAACAGCAGGGACGCGACTAAGAGCCTGTGTTAAAGGGCCCGGCTACGGGAACGCCGTGGTTGCTGATGCCCGGCACCGGTGCCCCGAGGTGCACCAGCCACGCCGACTGACTCCCTCTATCCGCAGGGTTCTCCCCTTGTGGTCCTCCATGGATGGACTCCCGCCAGGATCTGGTCTGTGGGTTACATCTCCCTCGCAGCCAACGTCTGGGGGGGGGGGGGGGGCGTGAAACCTATCCCCGCTGGAAGTCTAGAACGTGACCCGGGCCCGCCCCTTCGGGCCTGGGCTGCAGACAGGATGGCCTCCACCCAGCCTGGGGGGGCTGGTGGCAGGGCCAGGCGTGTTTCCGCCCGAACATTCATATGTTCGGCTGTGCCAGGGCCTTGGAATGTCACCCAGAAACGTCAGGCAGGAACACTGAGCGCTAGCAGGTGCCGATGACCATGGATGAAGTTAGTGGGCGGCAGGTAAGGCGGGGAGATGCCTAAGGCAGAGAGCTCTCTAAATACAGGTATGCCTGAACGTAAGACTGAACTGCGTGACTACAGCAACCAAAACGTTCCCAGCACGAAAGTAACAGACTGCTTAGCCTAAGGGGTGCACCTCCGCACGGTCCCAACGCACTGTTGCACAGGTCAGCGTGCCCCCGCCCCTGCTGCGCGCGCTGCCCTCTCGTGGTGCGGGTTCGCACCGAGTCCCGTAGCCGGCACTTACTCCGCTGCGGCGGGACGTCATAGCCACCACCGGAGACCACTGGTTCGTCCTGGGGTTGTACCTCTCGGCACTGCTAAGCTCTGTGGTGTCGTCTCGGCCCCCCACGGCATAGATCATGTCCTGGTACACCGCGCAGCCCAGGTGTTTCCTCCGCGTGCCCATGGGCGCTATGGTGTGCCACCTGTTCTCCTGGGGGTTGTAGCGCTCCACTGCGGGAAGGGGGGGGGCGGAGAAAACCAGTGAGCGGCCGTCAGCCGCGCCCGCTCACCTCTGCTTTTCCTCACGACCACTGGAGGGACGCCGTGGCCACACGTCCTCACTGCGCCCGCTGACTTTTGCTGCCAAGAAGCACTCGTGCACGTGTGGGCGGGCCGCCCTGCTCCCCCCGGGGCCTGGTCCCTTCCCGGCGGTGCGGTGCGGACGGAGGGCTGCGCTGGAGCCGGGCTCCGGGCTCCAGCTCTGACTAGGACGCGATAGCTGGGGGACCTGTGGCCTCTCTTACCTTTAAACAGGGTCAGAGGGCATGACCTGTGAGCGCCCTTTTGTTCTAGTAACTTACTGCCAGAACCAGGCGGCTCCTGCACACCCCCCCCCCCCGCCTGCCCTCCGAGCCCCTGGCGGGCGGGAGGAGGTCTGGCAGTGAGTCTGGTCTCTGGTCTGAGCGCCACACCGACAGATCGCGGGCGGAAACAGACCCTGTCTCTAACTAGAAAGGGTTAGTTAATACATAAACCTGCTTGTAGCTGTGAGTTTTTATTTATTCCCAGGTTATAACACAGAAGGTTGTGTTTTTGTTTTTGTTTTGTAAGGTGAGAAGGGTGAGGGGAGGGAAATAACGCTAGTATGAAAATGTTTATTTCGTTCATTCAAAGTCCGCAGCAGCTTGTAAGGCGGAGGGAGAGAGAGGGACGGGACGTAGCGGAGACCCACTGGAAGATGGGCGCGGGGAGCTGAGGCGGGCGGGAGCCGCCCTCCCGAGGAGGCAGAGCCGCGCCCCCAGGAAAAGGCGGGGGAGCGGGACCCGACCACACCCCCGCGGCGGGGGGCGCCTGCGGAAAGCGTGTCGCTCGCTCGCGTGGGGGACCGTGCGGACTCCGGAAGGCACTCACCTGTGTTGAGTGGAGACGTCCCGTCAGAGCCGCCCACGGCGTATAAGAAGCCCCCTAACACGGCCACGGCCACGCCTAGCCTTCGCGTGCTCATGGAAGCCACGCGGGTCCACTTGTTCTCCTTCGGGTCGTACCTGCAGTGAGAGAAACCGCCGACTGCACGCGTGTTCGCGGTACGTGAAGCCTTTTCCACGAGCGTGAGATCGCACTGCAGATGCCGAGGACACAGGCGTGCTGCGGCCTAGTGCAGCGGGCGCGGCGAGCACGTCTGACGTCGCTGTGCGCCCGCGCCTGGCCGCCCGGCTGGGAGCCGCCCCCACGGCGCCCCGGCCGCCGGGCACCGCGTCGCCCCGCGGTCCAGTCACCGCCGGGCCCGGGCGGCTCCCACGCCTTGGCTACCGCGGATAACGTCGCAGGGAACACCGGGTGCACGTACCTTTTCTGACCAGTGTCCCTGTGTTCCGTGGGTAAACACCCACGGGAGGGATTGCTGGACCCTATGGTAGTTCTGTCTTTAATGTTCTGAGGAAAGTCCGCATGGCTCTCCACAGTGGCTGCCAAGTCCACCCACAGCGCCTGAGGGTCCCCTGCCCTCCGCGCCCTCACCTGCCCGCCCCACCTGCTGGCTGACCGATGGCGGCCACCCTGACAGGTGTGAGGCGGTGCCGCACTGCGGTGGCAGTTTGCATCTCTCCGATGATTGATTAGTGGCGCTGAGCATCTTCCCATGTGTGCGCTGGCCGCCTGTCTGCACGTCTTCTCGGGGAAAAGACCTGGTCAGACCCTCCGCCCGCTCCTAAATCACTTCTTCTGGCTGTGGCGTTGCCGGGGTTCTCGGGGCCGGGCAAGACAGGCTTACAGCTGTGTGCACTTGTTCCCAGTAAGTGGCGGGTAAGGCCACTTATAAATTACTGCGTTGTTTTTCATACGAACTGCAAACCTACTTTTGCCCCACCCTGTATTTTGGGAACTACCTCCTTGTCGAATATATGACATGCAAATATCTTCTGCCATTCAGTAAGTTGGCTTTTCATGTTGGCAATGGTTTCTTTGGCCGTGTAAAAGCTTTTTAGTTTGATGTAGTTCTACTTGTTCATTTTTGCTCGTTTCCCTTATTTTTGGAGTCAGATCCACAAAAATATATTTCCAATTCTAGCTCATGTAGTATTCTCAGATCGTGCATCATTTTCCTAACATCTTTTTAGCATTTATGAAATAGCTGATTACATTTTGATCTGATGTGTCTTCCTGGTGTTTTCACTGTCTACGGAGATGTTATGCTGCTGCTGCTGCTTCTTACTTTTTTTTAAGATTTTATTTTTAGACAGGGGGAAGGGAGGGAGAAAGAGAGGGAGAGAAACGTCATGTGCAGTTGCCTCCCGTGCACCTGCTCCTGGGGACCTGGCCCACAACCCAGGCATGCGCCCTGACTGAAATCGAACCGTTGACCTTTTGGTTCACAGGCCGGCACTCAATCCACTGAGCCACACCAGCCAGGGCACTTCTTACATTAACTTTGTATTGGATCTAAGCTCAATACTTTGCTGTTGCCGATTTTTATACAGAATGAGTTTTCCTGAACTTTTGGAAGGGGAGTGAGTGGTTTGTGGTATTTTTCTAACTTCACGAAGCTCCCGCTTGTTCTCATGGAGCATTAAAAAGTACCCTGGTCGACTCTCGAGACGAACTGGCTTTGTTCACCGCTCCTCTGTTCTTGGCCTTCTCTTTTCATTTTGTCTGTTGTCCTTATCCTGCTTGACTTCGCTTTTGCACCCAGAAGTGTGCACTCTGTCCTGGAAGGGCATTCTGGCTGGGTCTCAGCTGGGGCCACTCTGCCCCCGCCCCCCCAGACATTTGGCAGACTCTGGGGATGGCTGGGTTGTCGCATGGAGCACGTGCTACAGGCACTTCGTGGGCAGAGGCCAAGGGTTCTGTTAAATATCCTGCAATGCACAGGACAGCACAGGACAGCAAGAGTTACCTGCCCCAAAACGTCAGTAGTGCAGAGGCTGAGAGACCCTCTTCTAAGTCCTTGTCCTTCAGATCTTACTGTGGGTCCCTTGCCTTGCTCTGTACTGGGAATGAGCAAAGCCCTCCTTGGTTCCAGCTGCTCATACATTTTCCTCTTCCGCTACTTAGCACATACGTCGGCTGTGCCGGGAGGGCGGGGCATTTCTGTTGTTACAAACGTCAGGCTTCCGAGTGCTTCTCTGTTTTCTCCTCCACAGACGAGGACATCACTGCTGGTAGTCTGTCTATGCCAATTTGGTTTTGGGGGTTCATGGATACACCTTTTCCCTAGTTCATTTTAAATGTCCATAGGGTTTTTTAAATTGTGGTAAATATACATAAAATTTACCACTGTAACCACTTTTAAGTGTTGAGAACATTCACATTAGCATGCAAACAAGCTCCATAACCTGTCCATGCATTTTCAGCTTGGCTATGTGTTGCTGTACTTATGTTTATGTGGGAATTTGGAGAGATTAAAAAATTATGCTGTTGCTATTGTATCTTTGCAGAATCCTCCTGCATAGTTTTGAAAGTGGAGAAATAAGTTTCTTGACAGATAGGTACAAGGGAACTAGAACAGCTTTAAGAGTCACCAGCAACTTCATCTCCATTTAAGACAGAGTTAAACTCTTCACCTCACACATGGTAACCCAACTAGTGACTGCAATTTCAGGAATTCTGGAGTCCTGAGCATCTCTTCTTGAAGAAGGGAGGAGGAAAGACGGTGTGCTCTTGCCAGTAATCACAGCACAGGAGGCTCCGGAATCTGATTTCTAGGATGGAATGACAAAAACTGACGGGGCACGACACCGGGCACAGAATCTATTTCCCCGAAATTAGCAGGCTTGTAAGACTATAGAGGAAACTCGGCAGCTCACAGAGTGCATTTAAAATACGACTCCAACACTTCACGGTGAGGCCCGATCAGCGTAGCATAGAGTTTGAAAATCAAGTTCTATCTCTCCTCATGCTAGACTTCAAGACCAACTGAAAACATTTTCCTTAAAGCCCACGGTAAATCTACTGACTGATGGATCCCTAGTGTGTCCTAACTTGTTTCTTTTAAAGAGCCTTCTATATGCTTCTAACAAACGGAAGTGACTTGGAAAAACTCACCTCTCAACAATGTTGAGGCAGGACACGCCGTCCTGGCCTCCGACGGCGTAGAGGAAGCCTCCGAGCACCGCCACGCCCACGCTTGTCCTGCAGGTGCTCGTGGGGGCCACGTCACTGCTCCACTGGTTGGTTTTGGGGTCATACCTGCCGAGAACGTCAAGACCAGAGTTTGCACTGCACATCGGAAGCACGGCTGGGTTCACCTACGCACTGACATAGGGTACATATATGTTCTTCCCCCAAGTGTGACTGATTAATAACTAAAGCATATGAAAGTCTAATTTATGTTTTCATTTTTATATTTATTTTTACTTAAAGAAGTTACATATAAGTATAATTTTTAAAAGATTTTATGTATTTACTTTTACAGAAAAGGTAAGGGAGAGGGAGGGGGAGAGAAACATCACTGTGTGGTTGCCTCTCGCATACCCACAACTGGGGACCTGGCCTGCAACTAAGGTGTGTGCCCCAACTGAGAATCGAACTGGCGACCTTTAGGTTTGCAGGATGATGCCCAACCCACTGAGCTACAACAGAGCTACACCAGTCAAAAAACATTTTTTTAAAAAAAATTTTCAGACTATTATATATAAAGTAAAGTTCCCTTTGAGTTACACCTGATTTCTGGTCTCTTCCCATTTTCATGAATATCCTATAAGACTTGTCAGTACAACAGTTTTAAATGGTATAGACCTATCCATACATATATGTGCAAGCATGTTTCCTTTACATAAATGACACCACTCGGCAGGCACGAAAGAGTCCGAGGACCAGCAAGCCACTCAGTGGGCCTGCAGCAGCGCGTCCGTGTTCAGGGCGCGGTGGTGCCCAGGGGAGGCAGACTGGAGAAGCAGGGGAGGTCAGCTCGTAAAGGACTCGTGTGTGACGCAAGTGGTCTCGGCCGCGACTCCTGCCCCAGAGGCAGCACTAAAGCAGCAAGTCCCCTCTGTTCTTCAATCAACACCCCAAACCGAACTCTGAATAGCAGAGAAGAAAGTCTAAAACCGACCCTACTCACCTTTCAACACTATTGAGATAGGAGGACCCGTCGTGGCCGCCGACCGCGTACAACAGGTCGTCCAGAACACTGACCCCGACCCCACATCGCCGTTTGCTCATGGACGCCACCATCCGCCACTCGTTGGTCTGTGGGTCATAGCGTTCCACGCTGGAAATGGCATCTCCACTGCACCAACCACCGACTGGGGCAGGGACAGAAGTGGTCAGGAGAACGCCCGCCCCAGAGTGGCGAGTGTGCATTCACTGCTAACCTTTACATGACGTGACCTAACGCCAGGACCTACCAACTGTCTCTAGGAGGAGATCAAAACGTGTTGACTTTTACTGGCTCCCCTGGGGCTGCTATAACGTATTTTACTATTCTAAGTAAGTTAGTGTTAAGTCCATTTACAGAGAAGGGCAAGGACACCGATCCAAATCAGACTGGGAGTTACTGTGACATTTAATGACCAGAACCGTGAATTTAGCTAGAAAACGGGGGCCTGGCCGTTGCGTCTACCAACCCATGTGCTCTTGACAAAACCTTGCACACTACCGATCTGTAAAGTGAGGAATGAAAATCTTAGAGTGAACTAACATACACGAAACTGCTTTCTAAAGCATGAACACTACATAAACGTTATGTATAATCAAGAACCAAAAGAAGCACCCTAATTCATAAGTCTGTTCTTTCTGTGTTTACTGTTACGGGAGAATGACTTTGACTCTTATGACCTCTTACTAGGTCCTCCTGTATCTAAAGAGAATACAAAAGTTTTTATGATTTATATTACAAAGTATTTTGCTTTCTGTTTAAACTGTAGCCTGAGCTGAATTCTATAACATCCAACACAACACTTAAGGTCAGAAAAGGTTCTGAAGAAGCCACATTTTGCACAGGTATCCCTCGGAGTAACAAGGTCAAACTGAAACCCACAGAGCCTCTCTGAGCATGCCCCGGAAAACCTGTGGCTACGGCAGACACAGCGCCATTCTCTCAGACCGTCCAAATGAGCGCTGGATTCTAGAGCTTAGAATGGGAGGTCTAAGGATGCTTTAGCCTCAAAGCATTTGGAAACTGCTGTTTTCTAGGGGATCTCAGTAACTTTCTGAGCTGGACTAAAACAGGAATGTGTCTAACCTTCTAGACGGATTTGAAAATTCATTTCTTCATTTCAAACTTCAATGTGCTGCATACATTTTATTTTATTATGGTACATTTAAGTCAGGATGTTCAGCTAACACTCTAGGTTCCTTTTCAGCAGTATTCTTCCTTAAGGACACTGGTTTCTTGAAGACCTATGTTCTTCTTTGGTACCAAAGAATACAGTTTATGAAATGATGTTAATTTCATTTGGAACCATGGAATCCAGTAACAAGCTGGTTTTAACGGCTTCCATGATTAAATTGTGCCTGAGTTTAATGATTAGGCTATTTGATTTGTCGCAAATGCTCATAACTTTCACATTTGCAGTCAGATTATATTTTGGAATTTAAGATGTGTTCTCCGATACTGAAACTCCTGGCATATATCCTAGGACACAGTTCAAATTAATACACCCCAAGCTCCCTGTCATTTAGTATTAACTGAATATCCTGATTTAAATGAAACCTGATTTTCTTTTCCCCTTAATCATGGTGGGCGGAGGACAATTTCTCATAGCCTTCCTCGGGATCCACACATTCGGGGCAGGTAAGAGTAGCAAAAGGACACGGCAGGTTGCCTTGGGCTCAGGCTAGCTCGGTCGAGCTAGGGCGGAGTATAACTGTTTAATGAAAGGTGATATTTTTGACAGTTTCGTGTAATTATGAGGTAACTTGCACACTGGACTATACATGAATGAATATGATTCATTGTACAAAACATCCACCACAGTGCATTTTCTGTTTTGGAGAATACTGCTGGTGGTCACGAGTTATGAGTCAGGCTACACAGTGACTTACGTGTTTCTTGGGGCAGTGGGCAGACAGCACGGCTGCCCGAAGGACCACTCACGTGACAGTCCCTCGTGTGTGTGTGTGTGGGGGGGGGGTGCAGTGTAGTCACGGTACGGGGAGGCCCAAACCTGCAAACAGCACTTCTCCACACCGGATGGGCTTCCGCGGCCGTGTCCTCGGTCCCTGCATCAGCGGCCGCTCCTGGGGCAGCAGGAGGTAGTTTTTAGCCTCGTCCACCAGATCTCTGTGGAGAGAGTTCTGCTTTATTCTGGGCGCCTCCACAGAGCACTGTCAGCCACACCCCGCGTGGTTCCGCAGTGTGGGCGCTGGCCGAGGGGAGCAGGCACGAGTCAGTCCGGACCGTGAACGCCAGCCCATCTTAAATGGGCCCCAGTGCGACAGCAGGGATGCCAGCCACACGGGGAGTCACGGATTGACTGGTGTTCCCACCGTGGCTTCATATCCCACTGCAGGTCTGGCCTAAAACCCAGCATGCTTGGGGCCAGTAACAACTGGGGGAAAACTGAAAAAAGTTACGACTCGATGAGCGGCCTCCAAAGTTTTTGCTTTCTCATTCATTTTATTAGATTCTGCAGGTTACAGACCTATTTCTCATGTATTTTATTAGATTCTGACAAAGCAACACATCAGCCATGAGCTTGATATTTGCTAGATTAAAGTAATAAAACTAGGCCAAAAACTGAATGGCTAAAAGGAAACACTACACCCCCATTTAATATTGATGTGCTGCCTGGTGCTGTCGGAATGGCTTACTCTCAATAAGTCTACTGGGGATGAAGAAAACTTTTCTTTCTGTCTATTAAGGTGTCTTACCAGAAGGCCCTAGTAATCATACCCGTTAAAAACAATGCAAACTGCTACGCACAGAAGTCCCTTGTGTGAGGCGGTGCCTGACCACTGCATCCATTACTCCGTTCTCTCTCAGCTCTAGAAGCGCTTCCTAAATTATACTGCATTTTCATTTCTCTAGATATTTTATGTTACAAAGAGTAATTTTTTCCTGTTGGACCAGTCCCCAGGCATGACTCAATAATGTACTTCCAATATATGGCTTTGCTAGGCCCCTTCTGAGTTTATCTTCAAAACAAAAATAAAAACAAAAACAAAAAAACCCAAGCTGATAACAAAGCGCTTTCTCTAGCTTCCCCAGCCTTACAAACAAAGACTGCGATCTCCTGATGGCTGGGTTTTCACTGCGTGGTCCAGGGGTTCCTGGGAAGAGGACCACAGAGCTGACGCTCAGCGAGCCGATCCAACTTCATAGTAACGATGACACTCAGAGTGTGTGCAGTGAGGAACTAGCTCACTAATCCCCGCCGAAGCCTATGAAACAGGTACTGTTACATCCCAACTGTAAAGTCGAATGAACTGGAGCAGAAAGAGGCTCAAGTAACTTGCCTAAGGTCACACAGCCAATAAATGGTGAGTTCAGCGTATCAGGAAGGGGCTTCGTTAGTTAACGAGTGTCTTCGTTGAGCACCCTGACTTCCTGCATCAGAATCGGTGCGGTCTGAGTTCTGTTCCCTGCAGGAGGGGCACCTTCGCACTGCTTCTACAGATTTCAGCTCCGCAGCTCCGGTGGGTCTCCCTCTGGTGCGGGAAATGTCTGGGGGGAACTGCCATTGGTCTGCTTCTTGAATTTCCAAGACAGACACCTGAAGGCCCCTCTAACATCTGTGGACAGACCTCAGATTACAGAAGAGATGCAGATGAACCCACGTGTCCTTCCTCTGTCCCCGGGCTCCTGACTTGGGAAGAGGCTTGCTCAGTCACCAAGGCAGATCCGAAGGTCGGTCAGCGTGGCTCAAGGAGCTCTAAGTACTGACTTGCTCTTTCACCTTTGTATCTGGCCCACGCCAGGAAAAAAATGGTCGGAAAAACCAAATGCTTTCAGACTTGAACCCGCATCTTTCAAGGCCATCAGCTGGGGAGAGCGACTGGGTAAGTTTCACCGAGTGCGCAGAACGCAGTGTGCGCGTTGCAGAGGCAGCCCAACCGGGCAGGGGCTTGGTTTGCTTGCTTTGTACACGCAGCATCTGGTGTTTCTTCCGGTCAGCAAACACTGTGGCACTAGTGGGCATCCTCCCACGGCCACGTCAGGAGCGCGGCAGACCTTTAACTTCGTCCGCAGTGTCCGAAAGCAAGGCCGGTCCTGTTCCCTAATGGGGCATGGGATGGGATGACAAAGTGCCCCGGACACACTTCTTGACAGAATCAAGAGCATTGTGTAATTTATCTCAAGGACGAGTATATTAGCAGAGAACTGCCTCTTCAAATTCTCGCTTGCATTACAATCGGAGAGACTACCTCTTTACTGCCACTTCTACCCAATAAGCACCACACCTAAAAAGCTAACGGGATGGAACACTGAAGTTCAGTCCTCTCTTCTTCCAGCTCCCTTGACCCTGGCCCAGAAGAAAAGCCTGCTACACACGGGCCTGCTTTCAGCACTAGGAAACACAAAAATTTAGGAAGCAATACAAATATGGAGATTAGGAGAAAGCTGGGATACTAGGGGGTCGAACTTCCCTACCTGCATTCTTCATCACTCTTGATGAGGGGGTCTGAGCCCACAGTGCCCACCAGGAACTTGGGACTAAGCAAAGGCAGGCGGACGTGCTGCAGCACCTGCGAGATAACAAACACCCTCTTAACCTCACGTGCTCATCCGCCAGGCAGTCAGAGTGCCTAACCCTTGCTTCCTCGGCGCATTTTCATCTGCTCTGGGATCTAACTGAATTAATTTATTAATTGACCTAACTTATCTATAATGAAGAGGGAGGGAAGGCATAAATACTAAAACTAGATTTAAATTTATTCGAACCACCAATTCAGTTAGAATGATCAGGAAACAACACACACTATCACTTTAGATGCTACTTGAAGCTCTCAGCAGTGTTATAAGTGCTACTATACTTGGCTCCTGTAACCGGACTCTAATTTACAGTCTAGAAGAACACCCCATTAAATTGCTAAGGACTATAGTCATAATAATAAGAACATCAAATACTCCATTCCGTGTCCACTTATGCCCCAAATCATCCCTTTGCTCTTCAAAGTGTCGTGGGGTCTCCAAGCCACAGGGAGGGGGAGCACAACAGTGGCCACCTTGCTTCCTATTGTTCCTTTTGTTCCTTTGGCCGCACCATTTAGGTTCTGACCCGAGTCACAGCCCAAACCTAGAGCTGATGCAAAGTGGAGAGGAAGCAAGGGAGCAAAAAGTTCAGTGTGATGAGAACTCATCTCCTTGGCTGTCTGGAAACAGATGGTCTGTCCTGCAGTTTCATGTACGGGACAGTAACATCTGTTTTTCCTCTTTTTCCTGCAAGTCGAATACATATTATCCTGTCCAGTACCACGCAGTTTCGGAGAGACACGTTTCCACGATACCTGAGGCAGCTGAGGACGTCTTTCTTGGATGCTGTACTTGACCCAGGCCATCACCGCGTTGAACACCTGTTCTTCACTGCGAACGTTTAGCTCATCGCTGGATATTATGTCGATGAGCTGATTGGCTGGGAGCAACATGAACTCTTCACTTTCCATCACCTGTTCAAAGTGAGGCAAGAATAAAAGAAAAGACCTGTGATCACTGTGATCATACTCAATTTATTGTCTCAATATTTCCCTTAAGGATTAGGAGGCAAAGCTCTATTCCACAATACAGCCAAAGTTCAAAGTAGTACCAGAGGAGGAAAAAAGTTTAGAAAGAGAACAAAGAAGGGCAGAGCGATTTTTTGGACAATGAAATGATCTTGTACAGACCACAGAAGTGGATGCATGTCCTTACACTCTGTCAAAACACGCACAGTACCCGACAACCTGGGGGCCCTGATGTCGACCAGGGACGTCGGGGAGGGACGACATGTCAGTGTAGGGTCATCCGTCGCGACAAAGGCACCCCTCTGGCACAGGGTGTCGGCCATGGGGAGGCTGTGTGTGTACGTGTGGAGACAGGGTGCAGAGGGACTCTACTTTCTGCTCAGTTCTGCTGTGAACCTAAAACTGCTGTAAAAAGTAATGTTTATTTAAAAAGGAAATGAAAGAGAGTATAGAGGACACAAAATTTAGGGCAAATAATAATTTGTGATTCAAGTAATTTAAGACAAATGACACCTTCCCCCCCTAAAATGAAGTACCAAAATAAAAGTTTATATTCAATGTTACTAAACTAACTATACCAAATTATAACTCCAGGAATATAAAAGGCATATAAAAATTCAAGAGCAGCTTCTGGAGGAAGATTCATACTGACAGGACAGTATCTAGGGCAGAAACACAAAGGGGCCAGTTTAAAAAAAGAACAGGGGTGTCAGCAATTTTACAAGCAAGAATGAGTCTAGTGAGGAGAGTCAGACCCAGGGAAACCTCTGAGGACTAATGCACTCTGATACTTATCTATATATATCTATCTCAGCAGTTCATGTTTGTGTGTATATAAAATATTCATATACTACAAACACACCAATAATTAATCTTTGCCCAGGGTCAGGGAGCTGTCAGAATGGAGAGGAACTGATGAGGGTATTGTCAGGATGGGCGGGGTAGGACAGTTGGAACCTAATTACAATGATTGCGCTTGGACTACAAATATGGCCTCCGTTTGGACTACAAGTAATATGGCGCCTAAACTCTGACCCGGAAGAGGTGGTGACGTCAGACCAGGAGCCACCAATGATATGTTGCTTCTTTGTTCACCAAGAACCAATCCTTGGCTCCGGCGCGAAGTCAAGCCATATAAAACTCCCACCCTTTCCCTTCTCCGGCGCGGTCTTTCCTTAGCTCCTTCTCCGGGTGGGGGAAGCGTCGTTGCCCAGGAGCACAGACTTCCAAAATAAAGCTCATCTGCCTGTTTCCATGGCTAATTGGCTGTTTACTTCCTCGGCGGGGTCTAAGAAAGCCTTGCATTTGGTGCTGAAACCCAGGAGGAGTCATTGTCTGCTGAAGACTGCTCCTCTCACTGCTCCTCTGCCTGCTCCTCTCCCGGCTCCCCGAGGCGGCCTTAAGGCTACCCGACCAGTCTGAGCACCGAACCAGGGTAAGTGCCGCCGTCCCTCAACTTCCTGGTCCCTGGATTCCGTTCCGGGTCCCCATCTGTGGGAAAGGCTGCTTTCCTAACCGAAAATCGTGGCGCTGCGTCGGGGGTTGCACTTCCAGGAGATACTGTTTTCCCTCCGGGATTCAAGAACGGGTGAAGGCTTCCTCGGTCCTGGACCCCCTTTCTGTCTGATTTGGTCTGTGACTTGAGTTTCGGGACACCAATTCTCAGTCACTGATCTTCCGTCCTTGGGACCAGGAATGGCAGGGCAGGGGTTCAAACCAGACCCTAAGTCGCCTCTAGGGTGTCTGGCCTCAAACAGAAATGACTGACTTTTCTGTCTGATCCGGCCTGACCGTTATATCCGTTCAGTAATTGCAGAACCTGGCCCCCTGAAGGCACTTTCGATTTCGTTACCCTTACTGACCTAAATAATCTTTGCAGACGGACTGGGAAAATAGTCCAAGGTCCCGGCATTCAGAGCTTCGGAACTCTGTGCTCCCGCCCGGACGTGTGCGCCCATTGTCCCACGGCACAAGTCCTCTTGCCCCAGAAAAACTCTGAATCTGCACTCTCTCTAAAACCAACTGCTCTGGAGCCTCCTCCCTTTTTTTCCCCTGACTCCTGGAAAATCTTGCTTCCCCCCTTTTCCCCCTCCTTATCAGCTCCTGCCAGTGGCTACTCCAGCCCTGGTCCTCTTCTCTCAACCGGATTTTGCCCCCTCCCTCTGAGGCCCTTTCTCCCTCCTTCTTTCCCGCTCCCTGCCAGCTCCCGCCAGCCAGCGGCCTTTTACTGGCAGAGGCCTATGCCAGTAAAAATGCTGAGGCTGTGCCGGAAAACTTAACCCTTTGTCTCCAGCCATTTGAAACACAGTGAGGATAATCTCACCTTCCGAATTAAGGAAATGCCGTGCTGTGGGGGTGGGGAACTTCAAAGTGCTACGCCTATGTTCGGAAGTAAAAACAATGAGATCTGAAATGAGCGCTCTGGTTCTGCCTGGGCTCCGAAGAAAAGAGGCAGTCCCCGCGGCCCAAATCTTTGAGTGTCCCTACATAAGTGGGGGCCTTGCTGGGGTGTCTAAGGTCAATCCCTGAAACGTGCAGGGGCCTCATAGGGGATTCCAATCGTAGTAATTAAACTCCGGCTGGTCCGGGAAAGTGCACTTAAGGGCTGGTCACCCAGCACTCCAAGCACCCCTGGCTGTATTAGACAGTCAGGGGAGAAACCAAAACATGTAAAAAAGTTAGGAATAACGGCTTTTGGAAGCCCTGCACACAAGCAGATTTCTCTTTCTTCCCTGGTAACACCTAACAACTCAATTTGCATCCAAATACCCCTTGCAAAAACTGAAGGGGGTGGACAATGTTATGTCTGCTGGGCAAATGTCTTGCTTTCTTTCTCTCTCTCAAGAAATCGCCGCACCCCGCGGGCACGGGTCAAGCATTTAAAAGCCACAAGGGCACTTGCAGCAACAAAGACACCTGTGGGAAGTTACATTAAACCTGAACTGGGAAAGAACACTAGGTTTCCCGCCAACTGTAAGTGAATGTCCACGCAGCTAGAGGCACACTGTAAAAGTATACACGGTCTCATCCCTGCGGTACATTCCCCACTTAGGTGTAGTCTTTGAGAAGAGAGAGCAAGATTTTAGCCTGTAGTGGAAGTCCTGCCTTTTCTAGGCTCTGTTCTCCTAACTAGGTATTTTTTGTTCAAATTTGCCTCAAGTATTTCCTCCTTTCTCTGACTCCATTTGCATCTCTGACTACTCTCATGCCTGTCTGCTTTACCAAGTAATTTCTGTGTTTATTTTCTAGCCAGGCAGCCATCAAATCTGTAAAACCATGCCTTTGATCCTTATTGCGTGCGCAGCAGGAGGTGATAATATTCCTTACCTGCCTAACCCAAGCCTTGCATTCAATTTCAGCTTCAATGTGTTTCCCACATTGCCTAGAAACAAGGGTACAAAAAGGGAAAATCTCATTCCCTCCATATCTGTAAAACTCAGAAAGGAAACTGAGGATTTAAGTCTTTAAAGCCCTGGAAACTTCTAAACCTAAGGGCTACTGTAGGTCCTAAAAACAACAGAGTAATTAACTGGCCACCCAAAACAGCGGGGTACCTGCCTCTCCAGTGCTGTAGGGAAGGTAACATTTTAAAGGTGTTTTTTTCCAGCTGTGCCTGAGTCCTAAGCCTGACATCTGTGCAGTTTTTTGGTTTTGTTGTTTTTTTTTTTTCTTCCAGCTTGTGTCCTGAGCAGAGCAGGGGGCGGGGCACCGCAGCACCCAGAGTTTTCGTAATGCTGGCAAACAGCAGCTTATGGTGGGGTTTTTTTCCTCCTTTAAATAGGGCCATACTCAGGTACACGAGCCTTTCTCAATAGCTAACCAGCAGCAGTGCAAGAAAAGGCTAGGAAACTTTTCTGAAAATCCCTCGCAACTCATCAGTAACTTCCATATTTTAGCCCTTGCCTTTATTATGGCCTGGAAAAACCTTTACATAGTTCTAACTAATTTGGGAAGAAAACCCTGCACTCTTCCGCAACAGACCGATAAAGGCCTTTCAGAAATACACTAATATAAACCTGCCGTCTCTAGAGGGACAGGTATTAATAGGGCAATACCTGATAACACAGTCAGCCCCAGACATTCAGAAAAAAAAAAACAAAAAAAAGGCAGAGGACAGTCCTCAAACCCCCATCCGAGATCTGGTAAACATGGCATTTAAAGTTTTTAACAACTGGGACAAAAATGCTGAGGCTGCACGCCTAGTGCGCCTGCAGCAGACGGGGTAGCCCTGCAGACCCAGGCTATAGTAGCAGCCCTAAGGCCGGCCGAAGACCCAGGACATCACAGCCCAGGGGCCAAGTCAAAGTCCGGGCCACCGAAAGAAACGCTGCCAGGAGCCTGCTTCAAATGTGGTAAGGAAGGACACTGGGCCTGCCAATGTCCAAACCCTCAACCGCCCACCAAACCGTGCTCTGACTGCCAGCAGCTCGGCCGTTGGAGAGATGCCTGTCCCCTTAAAGGCTCGTTCCCGGCGCCTCTACGTGGGGGACCAGCTGGCCAAGGTAAGGACTCCTCTCCGGCCTTAGAGCTCCTTGGCTTCATGGGCAACTGATGCGGCCCGGACTCGAAGACACTCATCACCCCTCGCCGAGCCCAGGGTAATGCTACAAATAGTGGGTAAGTCCATCTCATTCCTAGTGGACATGGGAGCTACCTAGTCAGTCTTGCCATCACATTCTGGTCCCCTTACCCCTTCCCAGATCTCGGTCATGGGGGTTGACGGAACTCCAACACACCCCCTATCACTTGTCAGTTTGAAAGCCAGATTTTTAAACACTCTTTTCTGATTATTCCACAATGCCCTATACCACTGCTAGGACAAAACTTCTTGGCCAGACTGGAAACTATTTTAAAGTTACAGGAAGTCTCAGATAAGGTCCTTATAATTATGCTAGCTTGTAAAGACAAGAAGGAAAATAATATCCCAAAGCAGATTTTACAAAAAG